GGGTACTCAATGATAATTTATTATCTCACCCAGCACATAGCCTAGATCTAGAGATTGCCCTTAAAGAGTACCTGGCGACGAACTCCACCCCAGATATCTCTCCTCTCCTGTTATGGGAAGCACACAAGCCAGTCCTTAGAGGGGTTTGTATTAGCAAACCATCCTTCCTTAATAGAGAAAAGTGTCAGGCACGTCTTCACCTCGCCTCACATCAAGCGTTTCAGACCACTTCATCTCCTCGTAACCGCAAAGCTCTAGAACAGTCAAGCTTGGAACTTGACCTCTTTTTATGGGCCAAGCTGAACTATCCCTCTGCAGGTCTCGACACAAATACTACACCAAAGCGAACAAACCTGATACATTTCTTGCCCTTTCACTCCGTAGACTAGACCAACTCGCCAAACCAATTCGTCTAAAAATATCCCAAGGCAGTTACACTAGAAATCCTACGCGAATATTGCAAATCTTCCATAAGCATTTAGCTTTGTTATATTCTCAGACGGAGCCTTTTGACCAGTCCCGCACAGAAAACCTCCTCGCTCACCTTTCTTTCCCGACTTTGTCTGCTCATCACCTGGAAGTACTTGAGAAGCCAATCACACCAGCTGAAACTTTGTCCACAATTAAAGATCTGAAGTTGCATAAATGCCCTGACCCAGACAGCTTCTCTGCCTCCTATTACAATAAATACACTCACCTTATTTCACTGTGCTAACCAATGCCTTTAACGCCATCCTAACCGGCCAATCCTTTAAGTCTGAAGCTGTATCGGCTACTATAACTATGCTCTCGAAACCCAATTCCGACCACTCTGCCTGGTCTAACTATAGACCTATCTCCCTTCTTAATATCGACATCAAGCTTCTTGCGAAAATCCTCTCTACCCGTTTGAATCCTATTATAGGCTCTCTAATACATAATGAGCAGGTAGGTTTTATTCCTTCACGGCAACCCGATGACAACGTGCACATTGCTCGTACCCGCAATAGCCCCACTTGCTTCCTGTCACTGGACATTAAGAAAGCCTTTGACACGGTCTCATGGTCTTACCTCAATTTTATTCTGCAACGTTGGGGCTTTGGAACTCACCTCTTAACCTGGATCTCTTCTCTATCTGGGCCACAAATCAGCCCCTTTCCCAATAGCTCAAGGCACCAGTCAAGGATGCCCACTTTCACCATTACTCTTTGCTCTAGCTATTGAACCTCTAGCCCTTTTGATCAGAAATATCCCTGATATATGTGGACTCGAGGTCAGTGGGTCTCACCACAAACTTTGCCTTTTTGCGAACAATGTACTCCTCTTTTTGACTTCTCCACTGACCTATGCCCCCACTTTACTCCGGCTTCTACAAGACTTTGGTCACATCTCCGGCCTTCAAGTTAACCCCCAAAAGTCTCTTCATTGAATATCTCCCTCTCCCCTCAGGAGATCTCACATTTACAACAGGTTCTCCCATTTTCGTGGTCCCACCAGTCTATACCCTATCTAGGCATTAAGCTCACGGCCGACCTATCGGGCTTATATTCCACCAATTATTTCCCAATGCTCACCTATCTTACTGGCCTTATGCATAAATGGTCTTCATTGCCGCTGGCATGGATGGGAAGAATCACAGTGGTTAAAATGTCCATCTTGCTTAAGATACTCTATATCTATATATCTGGGGTCCTATTCGCCACCGAGTATCTCGTTCCACCATTCACAAGACCAAATGAATGGTTGGTCTAGGCCTCCCAGACTTTGCTAAATATTAGCAAGCCACACATCTTGCTCAACTTCCGAAATACCATGCAACGCATGAGATCCCGCAATGGGTTGTTATACAATCAGTTGACTGCGATGCTGTCTCAGTAGCCAACCTACTATGGCTCCGACCATCCGACCGTCGGACACTCCAGAATCCGGTAACATTCCACTATATTTCCCTATGGGTAAGAATCAAATCCCGCTATCCCATCCAATCGCCGCATAACCCTCTTCTCTCACATCTTCGGAACCCGGCCTTCCTCCCATCCTGGTCTTCTCCACGTTCTTTCGTACATTGGTTCTCAGCAAACCTTATTCGAGCCCATCACTTTCTGACTAACATTGGTATCAAATCCTTCCCCTCCCTTAGTGAATCACATTCTTTATGTGTCAGAAATCTTTAGATACCTTCAACTGAAGCACTTCTATACTCCTTTATCTACTAATTCGTGCTCTGTCTGCTCAATGACCTTCTTCGCAAACACATGCAGGAAAGACCCACACAGGCAGGGCCTCATCTCCGCTCTCTACACTCTATTACTGAATCCCGAGTCTTCCCCTGACGCTTCATATGTCACTAAGTGGGAGAAGGATCTAGGATCCCAGCTGAGCTCTGACGATTGGGACCGCATTTGGTCGGCAACCAAGTCCTTCTTACAGAACGTGGTAGCGGTTGAGACTAATTACAAGGTCTTGACTCGTTGGTACCTAGTCCCGACAAGGATTGCTAAATATATCCCGGGTTACTCTCCAGACTGTTTTCATGGCTGTGCGATGGCGGGAACATACTGTATCTCCATATTTGGTGGTCCTGCCCGGCCGTTCAAGTTTTCTGGGTTGAAATTGTCCACATACTGTCTACTCTTTTTGCACAATCACTGTCGCCTACCCCAGCCATTGCCTTACTAAATATGCAACCCTCCTCGATATCCAAGTCCCAATTCAAACTTCTTTTAGAGGTCACTACAGCTGCCAAACAAATTATAGCTAAATCTTGGAAATCTCCTTCCCTGTGCATTCTGGCAGTTCAGAACAAGGTGACAAAGGGAATAAAGAAGGAGCAGCCATTACATTGTATGTATGTCATATTACTTGAAACCTTAATAAAAAATTTGAACAAGAAGTTAAACTAACAGGTCTAAAATTACTTGGTAAAGGTTTTGACCCCTTTTAAATATTGGCACCACATTGGCCTTACGGCAATCCAGAGGTACTATGCCAGTCATTAAATAGTCCCTAAAAATTAGAAGCAATGGCTTTGAAATGACAGAGCTCAATTCTTTAAGGTCCCGTGGATGTATGCCATCCGGTCCGGGTGCTTTATTCAGTCTAAATATTTCTGGATCATTTCAGTTGTGAGCCAATCTGGATCATCTGGAGCTGTGTCAGTACCATGCCCATTATGGACAAGAGCTCCGCCATGCTCCTTTGTATACACAGAGCTGAGGAAGGGATTTAATAAATTTGCCTTCTCTTTGTCCCCAGTCACCCCCTCTAGATTATTTTGTGCCTACATGCTGGGTTCAAACCTTTTTACTATTATTATATTTGAAGAATTTTTTGGGGTTGGTCCTGCTATCTTTTGCAATTTTCAATCGTTTTCGATTTTTGAGGCCTTTATTTCTTTTTTGCATATTTTGTTATATTCTTTGTAATGTTTAAACAATGATAGTGTTCCTTCATTTTTATATTAAATAAAAGCTCTTTTCTTATTATCTATAGCTTTTTTACCTTTCGCCATAAGCCACATAGGTTTGATTTTTAGCCTTTTAAACATGTTGACCATGGGAATATATTTTGCAGTGTGGTCACAAACAGTTTTTTTTGAGATGTGTTCATCGATGCCAATATTCCCTCCCAGTCTTGGAGAGCAGCTCTCAGACTTGGAAAATTAGCTCTCTTAAAATTGAGTGTTTCTATTTTTCCCGTATGTCCTTGCTGTTTACAGCTAACAATAAATGAAATCATGTTATGGTCACTGCTACCCAGATGTTCTTTTATATGGACATTTGAAATAAGCTCTGCATGGTTTGAGATTACCAGGTCCAGCAGAACATCATTCCTAGTTGGGGCCTCTATGAACTGAACCATAACATTGTCCTGTAGTAGGTTTATACATTTTTGCCCTTTAGCTGTTCCTGCAATACCATTACTCCAGTCAATTTCCGGGTAGTTAAAATCCCCCATTATTATCACTGTCCCAGCTCTTGCAGCCCTTTCGATCTGTGCGAGGAGCTGAGTCTCCACCTCCTCATTAACATTGGGAGGCCTATAACAAACTCCAATGATGACCTTTGTAGTATGCACCTCCATGTGCAGTTCCACCCACAATGCTTCAGCCTCATCACACTCTCCATCAACTAGGTGCTCTTTCACACTCGCTCTGAGATCACTTCTCACATAGAGACAGACACCACCACCTTTCCCATTTACCCTGTCTCTCCAAAAGAGAATATAGCCAGGAATATGAATGGCCCAGTCATGTGAAGAATGAAGCCAAGATTCAGCAATACCAATTAAATCATAGTTATGTTCATGCACCAAAGCTTCCAACTCACCTATTTTCTTGGCAGACTTCTGGCATTGGTGAACAAACACTTTAAATCATTGACACCTTGTTCACACGTATTTTGCATAGCGACTCAAGTAGTTCTCATCCAGGACCACTTAATTGTCAGATCTTGGAATCCCTTTGCCCAGTGATACCCTCAGTGCAGCCAGGTGAAGAGGAAGAATTCATCTGGGGTCTGAAGAGGTACATCAAGGGGACTTCAGTGCTCCCTAAAGAAACAGTGCTATTTTTCTGATCCACATTTTTGTACAGCGCACAGTTTGCCAAGAAGCTTGTCCTTAAGTTTGCAGTTTCTTGGGCATCCCATATACCCCTAGATCCCATCTAAATTGTTAACTCTTCAATAAAAACAAGAAAAAAAACAGCTCAAGGACTGTTTTACTGACTCTTTATGGGAAGATATAGAAAATGCGTGTTGCCTGGCCGTGCCGAGCATAGGGGGGCCCAATAAAATCCAGCGGCTACTGCGGGTTCTAAGTAGGCACCCATGCAGGCATGCTCCTGATCCAGGCTGTGTGCATCAATAGACACACACAGTGCTCCCTCCTCACAGGAGTTTGACTGACAAAAGCAGGGGCTTATGCCTCCTTCTGCTCTCAGTGTCTTCTGTGAGAGCAGGAAGTGAGAGGAGCAGTGCTGTAGCTAGGACGGTGCTGGAACAGTGACAAGACAGTGTTTAACCTCCCTGGCGGTATTCCCGAGTGTAGCTCGGGGTAAAGTTTCAGTACCAAAAGCGGTAACCCCGAGCTACACTCGGGAATACCATGCGGCGCTGCTCCACGATCCCTGTATCACTTACCTTGTCCTGCTCTCCCACGATGTCCCTCCTGCAGTGTCCCCGACAATGTAATCCGGCGGATGCCGGCATCTGTCATCTGGGTTCCGTCCCCTGTGAGCGTCGGGATGTACGGCGGGGACGGAACAGCGGGAAATTCAAAAATGACAAAAAGTGACATTCACTAAAATCACTAAAATCACATAGTATTCCATTACTGTATCAAACCATTTCACATACATTTTGTCCCGAGTGCTTTGTCCTGTGTCCTGCCTGCATTTTTACTGTTCTTATTGCCTGGAAACTGAGAAATGTCCATGGCGTCCAAAAAGCGTCCCTTTAGGTCAAAAGCGGTTTTAGACCGGCTAGAGAACAGCGATAGTAAATCAGAACCACTTGCAGAATTGAGTGATAATGATTTGTGGGGAAATTCGTCATCAAACAGTGAAAACGATTTTGCGACTTTGCTCAGCGATGTGTGAACTCAAATTTAAGTGTTTTTGGTTTGATTATATTATTAAATTAAATTTATTATTATTATATTATTATTTTTATGATTATTTATTAAATTATAATTTATGATTTAGTGTTTCAAATTTTATCCTCCCCGGGATGTTTACTAGACTCTTGTTCGGACAGATTTCAGTGAGTTATTCCTAAAAATTACAGCCTACAATAAAAAAAAAACATATTTCCATGCAAAATAATGGTACCGCTTTCAGCACCAAAAATCTGAAATAATCATACCGCCAGGGAGGTTAAGAAGTGGGTGGGTAGAACAGTTAATGGGATGTTTTTTCACCTTAATGCAGAGAATGCATTAAAGGATAAGTTCACCTTTCTGAAAAAAAAAGAAGAAATGCACATTTTTTTTTTTTGTAGCTTGTAACGCATTGCACCCAGCAGATCGCATGTGACGTGCAGGGCTCCTGTAGACTGTCAGTGTATCTGTCTGCTTATACTGTACCTTGTACAGGCAGACAGTTACACAATGACAGGAAAATTTAATGAACTACATAAAGCTCTAAACAGCGCACTGGTAGTTCATTGAGAACTACAACACATCAGCAAAGACTGTTGGTATTTGTAGTTCATGTGAATTAATGAATGACGTGACCATGCAGGAGAAGCCTCTCACAGTCACCTTCTTTTCAAATTGCAACAGTGGGGTTGGGGAGAAGATCCCCGGCCTGCTGTCACAAATAGCAGAGGGGTCGGGGGGGGAGGGATGATTGGGGTAGGTGGTTCTGGGGGCTGCAGAAGCAGGAACATGTTACATGTTCCACCCATTTTTAGGGTGGAACATGTGACATGTTCCTGCTTCTGCAGCCCCCAGAACCACCTACCCCAATCATCCCTCCCCCCTGACCCCTCTGCTATTTGTGACAGCAAGCCGAGGATCTTCTCCCCAACCCATCCCAAAAGTGAACTTATCCTTTAAGGTAAAAAAACATTTTGACTTACCACTTTAAAGCAACCCTCTTTAAAGAAAAATCCTCTAGTCAAAGTGGATGTATTATCAGATGTATTTTTTCATTTTAAGGGCAAGTATGTATAGTAATGTCTTGGGGTAACACTTCCAGGTATTTATTACCTCTCACAGAGCTTAGAGTCTTCTTCTTGACAAAGCCTTCACCTGCTTTTACTTAAGAACAGTGGTCTCCAAACTGGCTCGGGGGCTATATGTGGGTCTTTGCTCATTTTTATCTGGCCATTGAGGCACTATTTCACCCACCGATACCAACGATGGTGCATAATTCCCTCCACTGATGTGATCAATGGGGTTCAAGGACATCATTGAAGGGGCTCAGTTCCTCCCAATGACACCAACGATGGTGTCCAAATTCACCAATACTGGGGCACAATATCTCCCAACACCAACGATGTGGTACAATTTCTCCCAATGACACCAACAATTGGGTCCAATGATGCCAACGATGGGGCACATTTCAAAGATGGTGTCAGTGTTTTTTACACTGATATGGAACCTTTTATACTCCCAAAGGCCAACGTCCTCCCCCACTAAATTCTGAAGGATAGTAGACTGGTCCTTGGTTTAGAAAGTTTGTAAACCCCTGCTCCATGAAAAATGGAGCCATGTTTGCTCAGACATAATCCAGGTCAGCATCTGCTTCCTAAACCAGCCTCTCTAAACATTTTTACCCTAGAGTAACCACTAAAATAATTTTCAGGTCCTGGGGAACCCTTATTAAAACCAAATCATTGGCATCATGAAAAATGCTCCTTACATTGGGGGTTAGTAAGAAGAATGTCAACCCTACAGCAATCGTGAGATTGCCATCCTTACAGACATCTAAATAGATAACTGGTATCATACTGCTGGCTTTGCCAGGTGTGATGTTGACACTGGAATTATGCAGGCACCATCAAATCAGGAGCCATTCAGCCACAGGTCAAGGAACACCAAGCAACCTCTAGAGGAACCCTTCGATTACATGGAACAGTGACAGGACAAGGTCAACCAGTGCCCTACCCCCTGGACACAAGACAAAACCCCAGCATTGGAGTCAGTGGACACATTAGTAACCCCCAGCACTGGGATCAGTGGAAGCATTAATAACCCCCCAGCACAGGTGTCAGTAGACACATTATTAACCCTCACCACAGGTGTCAGTGTATTTATAAATTGTATTTGTAATTATAACTCTTAGCATTGGTGTCAGGCGGAGGTAAGGGGAGGAGATTCCAGTTTCGCAGCTGGAGAGAGAAAGCAGAATCCTCCCTCCAGCAGCTATCGCAGCTCTTCACTGGGCTCTGTTATGAATAACAGGAGTGATGGCAGCCTCACTCCTGTCATTCAGGTAGCTGGAGAGCAGAGTGCTCATCAGCTCTCAGTGCCCCCTCTCCACATAGCACCTCCCCGCCCAGGGCAAGTGCCCCCCTTCTGCCCACCCCTGGTTCCAGCCCCACCATGGAATCCTGGTTGAGATTGTCTTTCCTAAAATGAAATGCTGGCTCAGACATGAGAGAATCATGTAAATCTGTTTGCATGTGCAGCTCTTGGCTGTGCTCATAAACGTCTGATACAGTCAGCCTCTACAAAGTTAGTGTTCCCTGCTCACCAGCGAACAGGAGACTAAGTAAAAACCACTTGCAGCAGATTGCTAAAGATATCATCAATCTCCTTGAGATACTGCTAGGTGACTGAATGCTCCAGCATCTATCAAGCACTAAAATGTCAGCAATGATCAGCAAAGCTAGCAGCAATGTCACATCAAAAAATTGCTTATATACCTATTGACTCACCTGTTATTAATTCCATTACAGTGTCCCCTCTAGAAGTATGGTCTTTAAAAAAAAACAAACATTTATACTCATCTAGGTGGATGTAGCATTGTCAGTCATCAGATCTCTGCTCTGCCTCTCCAGGGCTCACTGGAGCTCTGAGCTGAGGAGCTGTTGGGAGCAGCTGGCTCAGGCTCTCAGTGGATCACTGAGAGGCTGAGCCAGCTGCCAGTTTAGGAAGCTGGGTGGATCCTGACAATAAAATCTGGATCTTTTCAGACCGTCTTTAGCCCGCTGTCAGCTGAAAACAAGTCACAGGAGTGCAGAACGAAGTGCACTCGTGTGATCCATAGAAATAGAGCCAAAATAGCTTTGGTCATACTTCTCCTTTAAACCTGAAAAGCAAGATGAAATTTTCTATGTCTGACATTGGTTGTCTATCACATAAAATAGATACATTTGGATGAGACAAATGTATTTCTACAGATTATGGAAAAAAACCAATAATGGGACTGCCTCTTTCCCTTTGCCACCTACTGTATGTGGCACGGTCTTTCGTGTCCTTTGATACTTTCAGAATTTCTTCTAACCTCTGCGTGTGACAGTACTTTCCCATGCGAGTCAGTAATGGCATCCAGCAGGCTGTCAGTGCAAGATTGTGCTCAAATTGCTACGCAAAAGGAGGTGTTGTAATCCCCAGTTCTCGTGCAGAGATAGTAGAAGACAACGACAGGTAAACATGAGATGTTGGATTACGACAAATTAATCCATCTCACTACATCTGCCTGGGAAGATGTTGACGATGCGTACTGCATGCAAGGTGGTGCACCAGCCCATTTTGCACTGGCAACACAGGCATGGCTAGATGATGCTTTCCCTGGATGAGTCATTTGGCATCTTGGGAATGTTGAGTGGCTGCCAAGAAGTCCAGACTTAACACTGCTGGACTTTGGGGGTGCCAGGAAGCCTCAGAATGTCCAGTTTAGAAGAGGTAATTCGAGAGGAATGTAGGAAATTTCCCAGTGAAATGTTGCAAAGGGCTGTGCAGAACACTCAGCCCTGCCTGGAGAAATATATTGCTAATGCTGATGCATATGTTGAATTTTTTTGTTCAAATATTTTATTGGTTTTAACAAGAAAGAATAAACGGGACAATGGAGGTATACAATTCTCATACGAAAAATTGCATAGGTACAAGATTAGGTATCAGTAACAATAACAGATGAGACCTTATAGGAAAGGGAAGAGAAGGAGGGGAGGGATCAAGAGAGGTAGGTGACTCCACAGTTAAAAGCAAAAGAAGGAGAAGAACATGAGATCGGTGGGGTTGGTACCAACGTACCTTGAAGTATTTGTTATGGGTTGAGAAGTGAGTCATCAAAGTTAGGCAGAAGGAAATGTTCTACCCAGGGGTTCCATACCTTCTTGAATTTAGGGATGGTATCTAAAATTGTGGCTTCTACTTTTGCATGAATCATAGCCTGGGTAACTTTATTTTTAACTGCTGCGATGCATAGTGAGGGAGATTTCCAAGATTTGGCTATGACCTGCTTGGCTGCTGTAGTAACTTGTAAGATAAGTTTGAATTGCGAATTTCATATGTTGAATTTTAACAAAAGCCCATTACTTGACCACCTCAGTATACCACTTACACTCTTTCAATTAATGCCATTGACCATGTAATAAGTGAATAAAAAGTTGGACATAAGTGTTGATCACTCTGTACAATATATGACCTTGAGCAATTACAAATCCATAATTTATTCACTAGAAACTTGGTTGTTCTTATTACCAATCAGCTATTCCACTTTGGTGTATTTGTAAAGATTCTAATTTTTGTACTTCACAATATGTCCTCTAGAATAGGCAGCTGTGTTTGTTTTCTGCCAATAATGTACCAGAACCACTTAGTTCATGCTGACTTTTAAAACCATCCTTGGTTGACATCAAAGAAAGAATGATCTCCGTTAATGTCTTACTTATGAGATGACTTACT